CTGGATGTAGCAGCGTAGCCTTAGGGAGAGCAGCGGTTCTGTGCTGCTGGTGCCCGAGGGCAGCCCTGGGCGTGCCCGGCTTCCCGGTAGGCCGAGGGATTTGGTGCGGATGCTGCGCCGCAGGGTCGGGGGACTTATTTAGGGCTGTCAAACTGTGTACTTGCATAGATTCAGTCTGGGGCTCCAAGGCCTTATGGAGTCGCTCCTATTAGACCTGGGATGCTGAGCAGGTTGTTAATGGCACTCGAGACAAACTCCCTTAGAGAAAGCTTTGCTTTTAAAGTAAATGCATGCACGATGACCTAGGAATTCTTCAGAGAGAGATTAGATTTATTACTATAACACTTCAAGGATTTGCTTCTGATCACCACTGCTTGTGTTTTTCAGATGCTAGTGGTGCAGCAGATAAGATTAATTTAATACCTCAAGACTTTTTTGCAGAACTGGTAAGTAGAGCAATAAATGGGATGTGGAAGGGCTTCTGGCACTCTTTGATTCTCTGAAACCTTTTTAAGCTCTTCTGGGTTTTGTCTGTTGCAAAGGGAATCTTATGTATGTGATAGCTTAGATTTACATGACTCGTAAAATGGACCAGTCCTACTAAGAGCAATGGGATTGCTTTAAATTTATGTTTTCATCACAGAAGACTTTTAAAAATGTATTTTTGCCTTTCATCTAAATGAGATACCAAGCTAGCTTGTCTAGAAAACATTCAGATTGTTTACTGTAGTGTGCACTTGAACAGGATGACTGTTCAATTAGTATGAAGATGGTGTGTTAAGTAGGAATAGCTAGTGAGGTCGTAACTAAAAGTCTTGACTGAGTTTATTGGTTTTCTTGGATTTGATGTAACTTTAAAATCAGTCACTTCAATGATTTTATTTTTCACTCTGCATTTACAGCATCCTCCTGTTGTCCGTTTTTGCATTAACCAGTTTTCTTTTTTGTTTTGTAATCTCCAAGTATTCACACTAGCTTTGTCTTGTATATTAAAATAATGCATTAAGAATGTTTCCAAACTTACTCTCATTACAGTGTGAACAAATAATTCAACATCTGAACCATGAGATCCCAGGTGTAAATACAGCTGAACTGTGTCAGGTATGTTTGGATGCTAGCACTTGTAAGCAAGTATATTAGCTGTATATGCTGTAAAGGATAGATTCCCCAAGTTGGGGGGGGTGGGGGGTGTATATACACAAAGAGGTTTTTATTAATGCATAATTTATTACTCTTTGTAATTGTTTGAATGTTCTCTTTCTAGAGAATGCAGACATCTGGGATTGAGACTAATGTTGGTGACCTGGCAAAAATAGCTAACATTATTTCCTTTCTATTTAGGTAAGCACAAAATAATTTACTTTGCCTCATGTCTTTTTTTCCCTCTACCCCAACTTAATAGTGGTATTGAAAAGTAACATCACATCAAATGTGGGTATAAAGCACTGATTTGGGAAATGGGCAAAAGTTTGTAACTCTTGGTACACAAAAAAGAACTTCTGGGATTAGTTTATGTTCTTAAAAAATGTGTAGCTACTTAATATACAGTCTCACTTTTTGTAATTAAAAAAAAAAAATTAAAGAGGAAATGTTCTAAGATCCTGTCTGCAAGCTTTAGAACTACTGGCAAAATAAAAGAGGAAGTTAAGCTCAGTAAGTCAGCTAGGCCTTTGGCTGGAAGAAGCGTGTTCTAAAGCCCTCTTGTTTCTTAGAGATTAGAAACCAGCATTCGTGCCTGTTTGAAGGGCACACAGTTTTATAATGTTGAACTCTGCCATGATAAAGGTAGAGTTTTTAGGTAGCATTTTCAGCTGTTGTTTTGCTGTAAGTTTGGCTATTTTCAGAAAGATAAAATTTTCAAGATTTTGCTTGTTCTTTTAATATCTAGTATCTAAACATTTTATGTAACAGTAGTATGACTGAAGAAAATATAACAGTAGAAATTTACTACCCTTTCCTTTATAAAATACAAAGCCTTAAATTGTATTAGACCATGCTACTTGGAGGACCAACTCTTTTTCTCTTATTAATGTCTCTTTAAGAAGAGTGGATCTGCATGAACGAACCTAGGGTGGGAATATTTTTACCTGTTTCTATAGGGGGAATTGAGTGGCTGTTTTCCTCTAGACTTGCTGCCTTTTCAGTGGAGGGTTTATTGCATCATTTGACTCTTGTTAGTACCAATTATACCATTACCTAGAGGTCCTTACTTGCCTTTTGGTGATACTTAAATTACCTCTTCTAAATGTTTAATTAAACTGCTTTGTTTCTAAAGTAGTAATATTGTTTCACTGCTATATGCACACATCTTTCGCTGAATTATGCCTTTTTTCAGTTGCAACAGCACTTGGAGGCTGTGATTATTTTTGTTTTAATGTTGTGTTGTGCAAGCCCAGCAAAACTTGGTCTCTGCATACTAAGACACATTAAAAGTCAAGTCATGTTGTTTTTTACATGTGGATACAAAAGATTAGTAAAATATTCTGGGGAAAAAAATCACAGGCTATTTAATGATTGTAAAGTACATAGACACTGAAGCAGAAATAAAAAATTGCCTATTTGGGGTGAAGTGAGAAATTTTATTAAATTTGTGGAGAATGAAATTGATGTGGTGTTCTTTGGATATACCTATAGCACAGCAGCCAGAAACAATCTCTCTACGGAAGAACTCGTCACCACCTTGGACAATGCAGTCAGTGTGCTGCCAAAACATGCAGTTCAAGTTATTCGTCATGTATGGAATGAGCAGGGCAAATCCATTACCGTGTCAGAAGATGCAAGAAATATGGCCACAGTGGGGCAGGTAACTAATGACAAAGTGCAGTTGAGCTAACTATTAACTTTTCAGAAATGTCAGTGCTGCATTGTGTATGGTCTATGGTCAAGCACATGGTGGTATCTTGGCTGCCAAAAGCTTTCTTCTATATATGTTGTCAAATGTCTACCCAGATAAAGAAGCATATACAATAAAGGTTGTCTAAATGCTGAACAGTTTTCTAATATTATTGTTTGGATGATAAAGTCACATTTCATACCTTTTTAAAAATTAGTGCTTTTTAGTACTACTAGGGAAGGTGAGTGGCAGTCAGTGTGGCAGACAATTGTATTAGTTGTTATGTAAATCTGTTTTAAATGTAATTTGAATTGTTCTTTAGAGTTGATAATACGAGCACTTGGTTCTTTTATTCTTTGTCTCCCTTAAGTTTAAACTTTTTTTAAAGAAACTTTCTGTCAATTTCCAGCATTACTTTTTTCTTTTTTGAAAAAATAACACAGAGTGTATTTGCATTTAAGACCTTTTTTCCTAACAACAGTTTAATAGAGTATGGAATTGGGGGGGGGAAATCTTTGTCTAAGGCTTGATAGTGAGTTTCTAAAGGCTCTCTTCACTACTTTATTCAACAGTTCTGCCTATCATAAGAGGCTAAAAATGATAATTTACCTGTCTGAAAAGTATTTATGATGTATTTTGATCTAAAATACAGTTATGAAATGGCTTAATTTTTTCCATTATTGCTATTATAAAATTTTTGTGCACTGTCTGAGGTTTTTCTCGTGTTTGCACTTGATTTAGAAACTTCTGAAAAAAAAAAAAAGACAAAAGCATGAATGATATATAAGCCAGGTGAACTCTGTGGCTCAAGCTCCTCTTACTAGAACTTTAAATAGACTGTACCTGACTATTGACAGTACTTGAATAAGGAAAACCGATTTAAGTGAAGTAACTTATGCAATTGTTTATTTTTTTCACTATTAAAAGGAAGGGCAGATGATTTTGCATTCACAATAATACCTGAATGTATATGTTTGTTTCCTATTTGGATATGAGCTCTAGATGTCCTATGTTGTCTGTAAAACATCCATCCAACAGAATAGCAATGGTAGGCTAGATCTCTTTCTTTAACACTGTTTCCAGTGATTTTCTTCTCTGTAGTTTGTAGATATTAAATGGAAACTGGGCGTTGCGATGAGCTCTGACAACTGCAGATCTCTGAAGTATCCTTATGTTACAGTGACGCTAAAAGTGGCAGACCCTTCAGGACAAATAACAGACAAATCTTTTGAAATGACGATTCCGCAGTTCAAGGTCTGTAATCAGTGTTACTTGATTCAGTCTCTTAAAAACAACAGTGATGTCATGAAGAAGCAACTGTATACCTTGATGCATATGTTTGTGTTGCTTATTTCCTAATATGGTCATTCAAAGATGAAGCATTAAATAATTATTTAAAACACTGAAGCTAAATACTTACTTCATAGCATTTAGTTCTACATTACTTATCTGAAAATCTTAATTTAGCAGTAATTAATCTGTTCTCTTATAAATAAGCTAACAAGTGAAGATGTAAAGACTTTTGGATCTTTCTTGTCAGCTGTCACTCTGCCTTATTAAAAACGGATGGAATGTTCTAAATCTATGGAGCTGTTGCCCAGCCTCAAAATCTAAAACTTGAGTTAAGCCTAACATTTGCTAATGATTAGGAATGGAGGTCAGTCTGCTTTGTCATCACTGGCTCTTTAATTGTTCTGCCTTCATCTGTGCACTTCTGTAACTTTTAATTTTGTGTAAATGTGGTGTTTCTGTTGTCGTTCCTGTTTAAAGGGTGAGTACATCACTTAGAATATCATACAAGCTTACAAGTAAATAAATCCTTCGAGTTGGACTGGCAGGAATTTGAGAAGGATATTCTGAATCCTTAGGTGATGTGAAATGTTCTATTCATTCTGGTTGAAACCTATTTAATAACTTGCTGTTCAACTACTGTAAGAAATGGATGCTATACTTGAGAAGCCTGGATTATTTCAGCTGGGAATAGAAACATTTGTGTGAGAAGGTTTTTTGGTGGTTGTTTTGTTGTGGTGAGAGTGCTACTTTGTATTTTTCTTTCATAGCGTCTTCTCCTATTAATAGGCAAACCCTTTCAAAGAAGGCATCAGCTGTGTAGATTTAATAGGGAATGTGCCCAAATACCAACCAGCCCACAAAAAGAAAAGCAGAAACTTTCAGTTCAGGCTGCAAACTGTAACTGGAGGAAAGAGGGAATGCGAGAAACATAGAATTTTTTTTTTTTTTTTTTGGCTAACACTCTAGTTTGAACTACAGTTCAAGCTTTTCTTCAAGCAACTGAAATTTATCTTAACTCTTGCTTTCTAGAACTTCTTCAGACAGTTCAAGGAAATGGCGTCTGTTCTTGAAACAGTTTGAAGAGAACTTTTATTTACACTGAAATTTCAGACAGACTTAGATCAAGTAAACTTTCTGTTCCGCACAGGGAATAAAGTGCCATTGTTCAGCAAGGTATGTATCCTTGTCTTTTCGACAGGTATTTGTCAGCATCATCCTTGCATTGCTGTGAAGATTTCTTCGCTTTTGAATACTTGAAGCCAACTCTACAGTGTTTGTGTAAACGTGTTCAGCTTTGTTCAATCCTGGTAGACAAAAGATCAGGATGTGTATGGAGAAGCATCACTGCAGACTTTCTAATATCCAAGAGTAAGAAACTACACATTTAACTTTGGAGTATAGAAAGACACCTGAAAATGTTGACTGGGAAGATACTGAGAGAAATGTAAATCCCATGTTAACACTTTTGTGTGTAAAATTGAAATGTGCTTGGACTCAAAAATAATATTAAGTATAAAGAGTATATGAAGTTACATGTAACAAGCATACAGTTATTCTTGAAGAACAGCAATGTCAGGTAGTTAGTTGCAGGTTTGCAGACCTGGCTTCTAGTCTTCTTTTAATAACTGGAGAATGTACTTGTCCTAACAGCTTGTTTATTTCAAATACTTATTTCCTACCACCTAGGCTTACAAAAGCTGAGTTAATGCATTAAGCTTTTCTGGATACACAAAATTTATTCTCTGAAATGAAGCCCAGAGGCTAATTTTAAATAAAGATAGAAAGGTGAATTGAATTAAAAAGCATTTTAATATATTTTTGCCTTTGTATTTAATCCAACTCTAATCTGTGGCACTCTGCTTGACTGCTGATGAAAACATCTGCTTTCTAATTAAATTAGAATATTGATGTAGTTGCCTCACTCCAAGCTCTGAACTAGAAGAGTCAAGAGGAAACTTGAAAATTCAGGTTGGAGTGTTAGCCAAGCACATGGGAGAAAGGACCACACTAAAAGTCAGCAAGATCTCTTTGCTGCTTGTATTGTGTGGCGGGAGTCCACTAGACTGTGTTGTGCGTACTCGCTCTCAGAGAATGTCCCAACAAGCAAAATTTTGACTTTCATTCTGAAGAATGGGGGCATTTCCAAAGGGGGAGTGATAAATCCAGTGTATTTGCATGCTCACTTTTGGTTTGTTCTGTTTTTTCTTGAGTTTCCCATAAACGAAATGCAAACTGCAAATATAGCGGGATGTTATAAAAACAATACTCTTGCATTTCAAGATGCGCTGGTGGTGTAGTAGAGTAAGTAAATCTGAAGAGAGACAATTCATACTGATAAGCAGACTGAAGTTTATGCTGCAACTTCAGAACGGTAGAGACTGAGACCCGGTTTTGCTGGGACAGATCCTCCAGTGATTTCAGACCCCCTTAAGTGAGAACATCTGCCTTTCTAACCCACTTACAATTTTTCAATTAATTTTTTTAGAAGCTGGCTGAAAGTCATTAATACAGGTTATGCCTGCTTTTTTGTGTCATGAAAATAAACTGCACCACATTGTATGTGCTGCATACTGCAATCCTTTCAATAAAGAGGGATACACCCTCACTATTTGGGCATTATGCATGGTGCATAAAAACAGAACTTGGAGTTGCTTAGAAGTCCAAATAAGTGAAACAGGGTTGGCTTTAACAAAAGTTAGTAAAAGTTTTGGGCCATGGCCATTGATCTGGATGATACTCCTTTGTGCTGCTGAAGTCTGGGGTGTTTGTGGCTGGGGAGAGCAGACTGCTCTTTTCTGGGACCCTCTCAGTGGAATGTCACAACATGGTCTCAGGAACAAGCTTCCTGTCTGCCTTTTCCCTTGTCTGTCTGCAAGGTCCTGGGGCTGAACATGGTGCAAAAAATCCTCTGTGTGTGGAAAAATGATGTGAGCAGCTGATTTTTTTTAATTTTTTTTTTTAATTTGCAGAAGTTGGAGTGTAAGGCTGCTATAACTGGAAAACATTGTCATGCTTTGGCCTAGTGAATTAATTGGTTTACATCAATGCAAGAGTTCCAGAAAAAGAATACTTTTTTTAAGTAAAGCTGGAGCCTTACAAATACGTCCTGTTTGTTCTAATGCACTTAAGTTCTTCATATAGCTGGAAATATTTGTGCCTTCATTGTAACTGGATAGAAAAGAAGTTTTAATTAATCACGTCTTAACTTCTAGAAACAACAATTTAGTAGATGCTGGAAGGAAGGAAACCTTCAGTTACTATTTTTGCTTTATTGTCCATCACCAAGAGGAGAAAGTTGGCAGCCTTTGAAAAGTCTAACTTACATTTTGTCAAGTCAAATATTCTACAAATATTACTGAACATTTTTTAAATGTCCCTGAACTACAGCATGTTGGAACTCTGGCTGGAAGATGCCTGGACATGTGTGTTATACTAGTTTACTGTCTGAGAATTTTTTCAGAGGTGTTTCTGGATATCTAGGAGATGTGATTAAAAGTTGGCTATGTACTCAAACTTCTGAGATTTGTCCTGATCGCTATCAGTAGGAATTCCTGTACTGACTAATGGAAGAATTAAGTACTTCATTAAAAAAAAAAAACAAAACCCTAAAAACCTAACGGTTTGCAGGATAGCAATATTAACATGTTCAAACAAGCTGTTGAATTGTTTGTCTATATGTGCAAGTAATCAGATCTTTTCAAAGAGAATCAGGAATCCTTGTGTGTTCTTAATTCTACTTGTTGATTGATATGAAAATGTGTAACACTAATATTTTTGTACCACAGTCATTAAACATATAGGTAACAAAGATAAAGATGGTCTGTATTTTGTCTCCAGCCTACTGTATGAAACTGTCTCATAAATACTATCATGGGTAAAGTTCAGGACTAAACTATGGCTAAACCTTTTTCCTTATTAAATTAGGATGAAGTTCAGACATATGCAGTCTGTCTCTGTGATGGGGCACCAAGGGACAACTGCAGGCTGCAAGGAATATTTGTATCAATTACTTACAGCTAAACAAAATGTTGTATTGACCCAGGAAAAGACATATGAGATCAATGAAATTTTGCAGGAAATTGCATTCAAGTGGCTTTCTTTCCTTAATTGTATTTAGGAGACAAGTAAACAATTTTTCTTTTCATCATTTGCCTGGAACAGAGCAAGAGGAAGGAAGGAGGGGGTGGGAGGGAAGGGTCTTACATGTAAACAAACACAAGGGAAGGAATAATGAATGAATCTCCTTGCAATGATTGACTGTCATCTTCATCACATGACTTTTTTTTTTTTTTTTGCAGTAGTTTCAAACACACCAGCCTACTTGCTGAAAGCTATTTTGTAGAAAAATGGAGAAGGGCCCACAGAAGAGTGCACAAATGGCTGTAGTCATGTCTGTGCACTACTAGTGTTTTACATCTTTAGTTTCTGCACGCTTTGGCCTAGTCATCGCAAAAGCAAATCATGTCTCTGTTCCTACTTCCACAAATTTGCGCTGCCTTTCTTTAACCACCTTTTAAAGGTATGTAGCCTTGTTGTTCACTGAGAACCCATCCCCCTTTATTGTTTACCTTCCCATTTTCAAGCCTTTGCACTCTGTTTGAACACCTGAAGATACATTAGCCTGGACCAATTAAAAACAAAGGTAGAGAGATGATAAATTGGGGGAGAGGATGAACGTTGTTTCTTCTTCCTGCTTGCCCTGTTCCCTGTTGTGTTTGAATGTTTTATTACCCTCTTAACTATGGGTATAATGAGAGCGTAATTTCCACTCCTTTGCAGAGGCATGCAGGGTTCCTCTGTTTAGCCCTTGCAGGTACTAGAATAACACAGCAGCGCCTGAGTTATTTAATCTACCTGCAGCAAAAAAAAATGCCCCATCTATGAAGACCCTTTGCAACAGCAGCACAGACTTAAAACTGAGCAGCCTCTGTCCTATCCAGAACCCTGTGGATGATCATGCTAGTACTCATTTCCTAGACAGATTTTTTTAGTAAAATGTTACATGACTGTTGGCTGGGCTGCTAGCTTACTGGGCATTCACTCAATTAGGAGGTTGGATCTGTGCAGGTCAGTACATGACATAATGAACGCCGTGACCTGGGTTGAGTTTGCATGGTATGCTGCTACAGTCCTCCCTTCCTGAGGCTCAGTCACCTCAAAACAACCGGATTTGCTTGCCATTGTGCTATTTTGGCCAAATGTTTCCTTTACTTTTGCTTCTACCGTGCAGTACGCTCCATACGTACTCATCCAGTTCCACTCTTGGCGCTTGAGTGCATGAGGAAGCATGCGTTTCAGAGGGATGATCCTCAGCATTCCTCATACCCAGTCCTGGATGCTTTGAGAGACTTTCTGACTCTTGTTTCTAAGGCTTTTCTGAGGGAAGGTGGAGAAATGACCTGCTGTTTGAAGGGAGTTACTGGGAATGTCTGTTAATTATTTATGACTTTGTGTCATTAAGAAAGTAAGGAAGCTGAGATTGCTCATCTTCTCCATGAAGGCTAATTTTAGTGTTTTGGGGTTTCTTCTTCCCTGTAGTGCATTTTCCTCCTATGGCTAATTATAGTCTAGCTGACCTAACTTGAGAACCATTTCTGTTCAATATGTGTAGGTGCCATAGTTTCCAAATACTCTGTCAGTGTTTATATTACAAATATTGTTATATTTATAAATGTGAAGTTTCAGTGTCAGTTTTGTACTTCACATACTGAGCTTTGGAATAGTAAGCTTTAATATGCATACCAAAAAAGGAGAAATATTCTATTATTTCATAAATAAATTTATGTGCCATATAGTATTTTAAGAGGAATTTGTCATAGCATTGGTCACCAGGTGGCACTGCTACATACAGTCTTGATACACGGTAATCCTTTGAGAGCGTGTCTGACAACAGGATAAGGACTCCTGGTTTTCTCTCCTGTGGAGCTTATATCTGGAACTGTACACGTTCATGTCACCATAACTTTCACCCTACTTCTTACAATAGGGAAATACTCTAACTCTGTGTTAAAAAGATGAGCATAAAGATTTCCAGTGACATAAACAACATTCAGCATTTTAATAACAGAATATATATCATA